TCTCTCTCCCCTTCTCTCCCCCTCTCTTTTTCCCCCTCTTTCTCCTTTCCCACCATCTCCCTTTATTTCTCTATCTCTCTCTTTTTTTGGTTAGTTTTTTCTGTCTCTCTCTCTCCATGGTTTCAAGCCCAACTTCAGGCAAAACCTTCTGTTTTAGATGGAGCGAGGAAGGCTGGAACCTCTGCACAGTTTGCTCCAACAGGGATGCAGACAGCAATGATATTAGTCGCGTAAGTAAGGGTTAGCAATGTCTGTCTGTGCTTTCCCCTCGGTGTCACAGGGACAGAAAGCGAAGAAAAATCTCCAAAAAGTCACACATAGAAAAAAAATGTATTCAAACTTAAAACAACAAATTGGCCCAAGTCAGGCTTTAAGAGGTGAAACCAGAAATGTAGAAGAACTCTCCATTATTTATAGTACGAGAGATTTTACTATGTCATTACTTTCTAAATGTAAAATAAATGTGTACTCTCTGTGTGTCTTTTTTCCCCTCCTCAGTATGAAACAGGAATACAGGATTTTGCTACAAGTTATTCTCGGGATCCGTTCAACCTGAAGTTCAAATCTCGATGTTTAAACTCTTGTAAGTATCGCTACGCAGTGTATTACTTAAAGGAGAACTATGAGGCGAGTGCTTTTCACTCACCTCATAGTTCTAGCCGACCTGTAACAATGAGACTGTCACAGGTCGGCTCAGTAATTTTTAGTTCCCTAGCTGATATGTTATGAAGCTGTATTAATTACTGTCCACCTGAAAGTACTACAATACCATTATAGAACTAAGAATAGAACATTTAAGTTTATCTATGTTTTATTCTATGTTCTATAATGGCATTGTATTAATTGTGAACTACAAGCGGCCAGTCCAACTGGGACTTGTAGTTCCCTGTAACTGATATGAGGCTGTATTAAAGTAATTATTATAAAGGCATTGTATTTTTAGTACTTTAATACCGCTAGGGGCCCAATCCCTAGCAATATTAGACCCTGCCGCATCCCGCCTCTACCCCGCCTGCTTCACGTCCCTGTGTGCCAGGCCCAGCTTGTAGTAGCGTATGGCCAGCTTTAGTGCAGAGGGACACATGCAGTGGCGTAATAACTAGAGGTGCACCGAAATAGAAATTTAAAAAATTTTATTATCTTTTATAGAAGGCTGAAATCATAAAACAATCATTTATTAACAGTTTATTACGTGTTTATTGAATGGAATTTAAACTATTCTACTATCTACTACTGCATCATTTTTTTTCTGCTGGGTTATTGATGCCTTTGATCTTACAAGATCTTTTGAAAGATGAAATATTCAGCAAGATGCTTGGTGGATATAAATTAAAAAGGGTTTCCTAATTAAATAAAGGGGAACGTTCAGTGCAGGATATTTACTAAAAATTACCAAATAAAATATCCCCTTCCATCACTGCAGTAGGAGATAAAGAACAGGTTTTGCAGTCTTTGTGGATTTTTTTTTAAACCATAAAGACAGTAGCGGGATCAGGTCTACTTATTAAATTATTTGTAGACCTCAAACTTAAGCAAGGATTCCCAAAGAAGGATGCTGTGACGGAGAGGGACCAGGTTTAGGCACAAGAAAGAGTATGAAGCAAATAAAGAAGATAGCCCTGGATCTAAAAGAAGAGGCCCGGCCTCAGGGGCAACAGGAAGCAGAGGGGCGGCATGGGTGTAGAATTTCACGACGGCCGGGTCATGCAGTTTCGGGCACCGGGCGGGTAGTTGTTTTCTACATTTAGCCCTGCCTTGGGCAAGCAGGGCTAAATGTAGAGTGAGGAAGCAAAAAAGTTAAGTTAAAAAAAATTGATTACAAAATAATTAAATAAATAAAACATTTAAAAAATAAGTAAAAAATTATAGGAAATAATTATTAAAATAAAAAAAAAAAATAAGATAAAAAAATCATAAAAAAAGTAAAAGATGACAAGATAAATACAAATTGAAAAAAGTAATAAAAAATATATATATTTTTTAAAATGTATACAAAAATTAAAACTAACCCTGCCGGCCCCGCCATCTGGTTGCCATTCTCCATTGGGGCGGTGGGCAGGGAGGGGGGCGCATTGAGGAACCTGGCCTTGGGGCTGCAGAGAGAGTGAATCCTGGCTGTGGCCAGTTGGGGCTCTAATGAGAGTGATCCATATGGGGAACACAGGCAAGTCTATATGGTGATCTGCAAACTCTGAGAGAGCTGACCACCCACCCTTTGGCTACACTAACTGTATAGAAGTAATAGCAGCTGATGAGCAAGTTGGGGTCTTTGAAGGCGATTAGTTTGGTGGTGAAAAGATTGGGGATCCATCTTTGTGTATGGTGGCTGCAGCGATTAGGTATTTTATACCTATACTGTGGTTAGTTTTAATATTGTCCCCGAGGTGTGATGCATTCGCGTCCTGACATATGTAATTGGTTCCACAGATTACATTTAGTTCTTTCAGTGCCTTCAAGGACTTGTGCCCCTATCCAAGTGTACTGTTGTTTTGTCACGTAAAGCTTTTCATCAAATTCTTGTAAATAATAAAAGGTTGTGATGACCATTTAATCCCACTCATCTGTGGTCTGCCTTTTTTCTGAGAAAGGATTATGGTAGAGTTGGGCGATGATCAAGTAGTGCAGGAGGACAAATGATGGTTTCCGAACAACCTCAGTCAGGAGAAGTTGCCTCATTTCAGATCACTAGTAGAGATAAGGAAGGTGATTTCGGAGAAATTGATTTAGCTGAAAAACAACTCATTTTCCCAAAGTGGATCCTCACAATTTCTCAATTTCGCTCATGCAGCCACTTTGAAAAAATGTTCTTGAAAAATAAAACCAAAAAAATCTACTGTCCAGGATCGATAAAAGGAGCTTCCCTATCCCTGCATCAGAAACCATTTAAAGCCCACTGCACCCTTAAAACTGTACTCATTTCACCTCTCCCATTTACTCTAATACATTTGGAGTTATTCACAAAAGGGTGAAGAGTTTGGAGAAGGCAGGAGAAGTGAACAATCTAGGACAACATCGCTGAACCGGAAAATGAGCTAAATTGGAGAAATGTTCCAAATCAGCTATTTTAGCCTAGATTGTTCACTTCTCCAGACTCTTCACCCTTTTGTGAATAACACTGCTAACCAAAATGGTGAAATTCAGCCAAAATCTTAATTTTCGGTCATCTGTATTGATTACCTTAGAGTAGCAGTAAGTGGAGTAAGAAGCATATGCGGGTTTCCTTTCATTATTGTTTTGCATTAAAAGCTTTTCTTCTATGCTTTATTCCATACTTACATATTATTGTCTTGATTCCAGTGTGTGAGCTTCCACCGGCAGAAGAAAGGCAGAAGAGGGGCAGAGTGAAGCACTTTGTGTTACATAAGCCTGAGGAGCCTGCATGGGATTCAAAACTAATTTTACCGAAGAGCCCCTGGCCACCCAAATCTGCCTCCTATACTGTTAGTGTATATCATTAAATATGTATTTTATTTATTTTTACTAGGGATGCACCGATACCGATACTAGTATTGGGAAGCCGGGCGGCGAGTCATTACATGGAGCTGGCTTCTTGGCCAATTAGGAAGCTGTTGGGGGCTAGTAATGGCTCACCCCCGGGAGAATGGAGCCGACTTCCCAGCCAATCAGGAAGCCAGGCGGCGTTTAATGACTCGCTGCCCGGCTTCCTGATTGGTTGGGAAGCTGGCCTATCAGGATGCCGGGCGTCGAGTCATTACCCGCCCCCCGGCTTCCTGATTAGCCAGAAAGCCAGCTCCATGCTCCCTCGTCACCTGGTGACGAGAGTGCATGGAGACGGCTTCACGGCTAATCAGGAAGCTGGGCGGTGAATCATTACACGCCGCCTAGCTTACTCAATGGGACTTACGGTATCGGTATTGGCAAGTACCGAAACAAAAATATCAGTACTCCTACTCGATACCAAAAAAACTGCATCGGTGCATCCATAATTTTTACTATTATTATATTCTTGAGGGAGGGAGAAGGAAGGAGAAGGCTCTGGGCCATTCAAGGTTGTATTCCTGCACGGTGCTGTCCCAGCTCGCTGTATGAACATAAACTGTGTGCAGCAGTGACGTGCGGTACCTTTAGTTCCAGGTGAGGCATATCCCAGCCTCACCCCCAGCATGTCCCGCCCCGCCCCCGCCTGATGAAGCCACGCCCCCAGCATGTTGAAGCCATGCCCGTGTAATCCCCACCCCAACCCGATCCCTATGCTATTGTGAAGGAGGGAGGGAGGAGCCTCCCTGTCCCTCACTTGCTTGTCACTGCTGAGGCATCGAGATTGATGGTCTCAGTGGGTTTTTTTTCCTTTTTTTTATTTGACAGCTTGGACCAATGGCACTTTGCCATTGGTCCAAGCCATCTACAGAGCTCACACCTCTAACATAGAGTAGAGGCTGTGACAGCTCTTGCCTCACCAAGTTAGTTTACGCAAGCAGTGGGGGAGCCCGCTGCTGTGTAACCTAACTACCTGTCAAAAGCTGGATGCAGCGCTGCCTGTAAATAACCGTGGGGAGGATTTCCCTGATATGTAGAGCAGACAAAATGTGGCTTGACAAGGAAGACCACGTCTTCGAAACGCATTGTGGAAGTTCCTGTTGTCTTCCTTGTCAAGCCTCACGCGTTGAGGTGTTTGCATATATCTTTGCACAGCATCATGAGAGCCTCATAGGGGGGAATCCCAGGAACCCTGTAATAAAATCTCAGGATTTGCTAGCCTAGCACCTCTCACCTCCTGCAACTCTGCTGTTCCCCCGCAACTTCACAAGCCTATAGGACAGGGGACATCAATGGGTGGGGACCCTTCCCATGGGAGTGCAATATATTAGGGTTGCACATGAGATGGAATTTCTGCATTACACTCCACCATGATGATGAATATAGATAAATTTGTAATGACAAAAAGGAAGCAACTGGAGGGAATGAGGTGGGCAAACTCTCAATTTTCTCCAAAAAGTTGATTTTCTCAAAGGATTGGCATGTTAAAAAGCAGTGCAGCATTAATGACCTAATGATATGTTGTGTTTAGAGACATAGAAGACGGCGGGGTGTCTATAGCGCATTCATGGATCGGATTGAAGAAAAGTTCACTGCCAGTAACCAGAAGGTGCGTAATGTACATTAGTATTGTATTATAGCTGCTGATGGTGCAATGGGTTGTTTTACCATTCCCCCTACAAAGGTTCTGGGCTGTTGTAGAACATAAAGTTGCATAATACCATGGCAGGACAGGCCAAGAAAAAGACATTTGCTGACCATCTCAGCTCTAGAGGTCAAAACAAGACATCTGAGGAGGTTCCTAAGCAGCAAATGTCACACATTTACGGCACCACTTGGCAGGTCTTGAAGGAACCAGTATACTGAATGCCTTTGGTAGACTTCAGTTGGATAATGGAAAAGTTACTGATTCATCAGAGTAAATTACAATGGTTACCCGACTGGTAAAAAATGGAGCACTTTGTCAGTTCACTGAGGAAAATGGGTTCTCCAGTGAAGACCATCATTCCCACCCAACAAAACCCCAACTATGAACAAACCCATTTACAGCAAGACCCGATTTCGTAATTTGAATGACACAAACCGTTTTGGTCCTGTAGTCTGTGTATTACCTTTTCACCTGCATGTTATAGATGTCTGTTGAGCCCAATAGAGTAATATGTGTGCTGCAGTGACCTGGTTTTGTAAAAATCAGGACTCTGGGACAAGCAGTCCATAGGGATTCATTCGAACATCATCCCATAAGGCTCCTACCAGAGTTGCCAGATGAGCTCCTACAACTGATATTTTGATCGGCTTCAACTGGCTACACAAAGATTTCCTCTTTCTGATACTTTACTGGTAGATGTTCAATGACTTTCACTTTAAGTTTTCTAATTAACTGTAAATGTTTTTGTTTTTTTTGTTTCAGAATTTATCGTTAAGTCGAGAGTTGGCCCGCAATTGAAGGTTGTTTCCTCCAGTGGCAGTCTGGGCACATTTGAACATGGGATTCACAGAATACAATTTTTACGGGAAGAACATAGATTATATGGACCGGACTATGGCGCTAGCAAATGTGACTTTTATTTTTTGTTATTCATCTTATATTGAAATAAGAAAGCCTTGTCTGATTTGGTGTTGGGGGTCAGTAACTCAAAAGAGTATTTTAAAAAAGAGAATGGTCACTGAATGTAGCCAATAAAGTGAAGCTGTGTTAATGTAGGACATCCAATCATGTTCAGCGTAATTTAAAGTACACTTGCACCTATTATGTAGGACAGGGGTAGGCAACTTCGACACTCCAGCTTTGGTAAAGCCACAAATCCCATCAGTCCTCTGCCTCTAGGAGTCATGCTTGTGGCCAGGGGCATTCCTAGCTTTCTTGCTGCCCGAGGCAGGGGAGAGAGAGGGGTGGCACAGAGCTCCTGGCAACCAGTGATGTCACTGGTTGCCAAGACCTCGATGAGATGCTGGCAAGAGCATCCCAGGTTGCTAAGAGCTTGGTGAAGAGATGTGTATGGCCCTTACGCATCTCCCCGCCTGGTTCTTAGCATCCTGAGATGCTCTGGTGGGGAAAGGTGGTGGCAGACACACTGGAGACCATCAGAGCGGCCCTGCCTGTGGCCGTCAGTCTTGGAATGCCTCATGGGACTTGTAGTTTGTCAAGAGCTGGAGTGCCTACCTCTGATGCAGGACCTCCAGTCCCCACTCCCAGCCTTATACTCGCCTTTCCCTCCTCCAGTAAGACATTGGCATTGTGTCCAAACCCTGCTCGGGCAGAGTCACACTTTTGCATCCAGTAATGTACGTATTAAGACAACCCATTCATTATGAATGGGCTGCCACCGCAGTGTAACAGAACAAAAAAATGCATCGCACCACAACTCATGGTATGTGCATTGTGATGAGGTGTGCTGCTCCCTACTGTATACTGCACTGTGTGTTCCATTTACAATGAATGGCACAGCAATGCATGGCTAAAATTACCTTGGTCTGGCTCGTACAGAGCAAAATAAACATTGATAATTCTTTCTTAAATTGTGTTATTCTTTCTTTTATATGTATATTACATACCCCTGGCAACATCACTCTGTGCTCTGTGTTGTACATTACATACTGCCGACCACTACACTCTGTACACTATGTTGCACATTACATACCCCTGGCCACTGCACTCTGTATGCTTTGTTTCATATTACATACTCCTGACCACTGCACGCTGTACTGTACAAATCGAAATTCAAACGAATCTGTGGTATTCAGAGATTCGAATGTATCCGAATCTCTGAATAACATTAGTAGAGAATTTCAACGAATTGAAAGAAATTATAATGAAAACAACAAATTAATTTGGATTCATTAGTTTCATTTGGATATCTTGATGCGATAGTTTGTACCTTTTTGTTAAAGAAAAACTATGGGGTTAAGGCTTTTCCCCATAGTTCTCCTTTAAAGGCTGATATATAGCCAGTAGGGATACACCGATACCAGCTGTCCAGTATCGAGTACGAGTACCGATATTTTGTTTCAGTACTCGCGGATACCGAATACCGGTGCTCTGTGTCCCAATTACCAGAAAGCCGGACGGTTCATCATCGAAAAAAAACACCAGCTTCACTTCCCAAGGCAGCCTGGCTTCCAACAAATTGAAAAAAGAAGCCGGCTCCATGCTCCCTCGGCACTGCCGATCAGAGGGAGATCTCTTGGTATCAGAGCTGACACCCGCACTGCAAGGGTTAAGTGCTCATTTTTCTCTATGGGCCAGAATAAAGAAGATATACTCACATGATCTTCAGTCTTGTGGCAGTCAACGTTCTCCTCTCTCCCCCTCTGCTCCGGCTGTGGAATAGTGCTCAGCATCCTGCCATCTAATGCAGGTCAATGGACCTACATTAGACGTGATGATGGCAGTGGCCTTTAGACTGCCAGAACCCGGGGGAGAAGAGGTTTGGAGCCTGGTGGGATCGGGCAGGATCAGGTAAGTATATCTCCTTTATGTGTTCCTCTTACAAAAAATACATTCAGGGTCCATTTACACTTTGCCATTCTTGCGTGTTGTGTTATTGCATGCGTGTTAAGGCACATTGTGTCATGCTTTAACATGGTTTGCATTACGGCAACCCTTTCATTTTGAATGGACTGCCAAGGCTCTATGGGAATCTCCCGGGACAGTTCTATGCTGATGATTATTATAATCAGCAGGAAAGAATACATTTGTTTATCTCTTCCTGTATTTGTAAAGTAGATAGAGCTTTCTCTTTCTATATACATATCATTAGTGTACAAATATAATCTGCACTGTCATTATTATTGACATATAATCTGAGAATAACATCATCTGCACTATTGTAAATTGTGGGGATGTCTGAGGACAGCGTTATCCGATGACGATTTACTAGAACACCTTATTATGGAATCATATACTGTAGTATACTAAATTGTGTCTATAAAGGAAATCATATGGTCAACTAAGACTGTGGTATTCAAGTGATTACTGACTGGTATTAACAGGACAACATTTCCCACACCATTATACTCAAGGCGGGCTGGGTCCATGGATTCATGCTGTTGACACCAAATTCTAACCCTCCCATCTGTGTGTGTCAGCAGAAATCGAGATTTATCAGACCAGGCTACATTTGTCAAGTCATATGAAGTAAGTAAAAACCCTGCAGGGATGATGGAAACCACTCATAATTGCTACAGCAGATGTAAAGACCTTGGAACCTGGTGCAGGAATGGTGAGAGCTCCTTATAAAGGCCACAGCAGGCATGCAGACCCAGCAACTCAGCATAGGGATGTTGGGAACTCCTCATAATGGCAACAGCAGGTGTGCAGACCCAAGAACTGAGCACAGGTATGGTGGGAGCCCCTAATATGGTCCCAGAACATGTGCAGAACCGGGAACTTGGTGAAGAAATGGTGGGAGCTCATCATCCTCAAAATGTTCACAGCAGCCATACAGACAGGCAGGTGCACAGAGCTGGAGAGTCCCCTAAAGACAAAAACTGAAAAGAACTTTGGATATAGTGTGGAATAGTAAGGGTAGGTCTACATTACAACACACTTATTAGTGCTGACAAGCACTGATGATGTGCATTGTGATACATTTTTATGTATGTTGTAGAACAATGCACTGCGGTGTGCCGCAACGTGTTGTGATGTAGTAAAATCATTTTCTTGTGAATTAACACAGTGAAGAACACAGCTTTCTGCCTTGCTCATATGCTGGGACTGCGATGAACAAGGCAGCCCAACACATGGTGCGAGAACAAGCCCTGAGACCCCTGTCAGGCTGCTTTTTTGCTGTGTGTGCCCTATTGAGGAGATTTCCCTTCCCTTCCTGTCCCAGAGAAACAGGAACTAAAAGAAGAACTCTCCCAAGTAAGACAATAGTTTCCAGAATAGCTGTCTTCAACAGAAGATTTATCTTTACCTCCAACAACTCAAAAATGTTTAATCTCCCATCACTTTCTATAATAGAGACAGTGTTGTAACTATAGCCATAGCAGCCCATGCAGCTACTATGGGTCCTGGGGGTGGAAAGGGGCCCCATTGGGTTGTTGAGGCAAACTAAACAAAGAGCATGCAAATATAGCATTTTTGTGACTAGTTCAGGGACTTGAATGCATTTTTAAGATTTAACTCCTGAGTTTAGAGTTACTTTAAGGGTGGGAGTGGTTGAATTTGATGACAACCCTTTTCCTCTGTAAAGTCTACAGTGTAGTAAAGCTGACAATCAGATGTGTTGGTTATGTGTTTAGATGAAGCACTGAGATCTTGAAGAATGCTTAATTAAGTTTTACTTGCTTAGCCGGACATTACATGTATGTATACAGGAATACAGCATAGTACAGGAAAACATATACATAGATAGAACTTCCTGTGTATCATACATAAGCATGCATATAGAAAACTAGACTTGCACTACAGCACCACCTACAGCTCAAAAGACATAACAGTGCATCAGAATATAAGTAATACAACCAATACATATTACCCTATGTTGTTGCATTTCCAACAAGATGCACAAGAGGAGTCTTTGGGATCTTGGTGTCATTAGTTAAAGCTCAGAGAGAGGTCATCAGGGGGCCACCTCATCATATTTTTGCTATGGGGCCCCCGTGACCTGTAGTTACACCCCTGAATGGAGACAATGGTCAGCAGGGACCAGACAACAACAGACTCCTCACCGACATTGTAACCCTTGCACATCCCCCCCAAATTGTGGCTTTACATACACTTACAACTTTGCAGGGCCCATCAAAAAATTAAATATTGATTTTAGGTGGACTGTCCCTTTAAAAGGGGCTATACATTTCCTTTATGTACATGAACTAGTCCTGGAAGAGCCCTGTCACCCTTTGAAGAACCAACCTTCAATTAGAAAATGAGTGCTTCTGCCCCCCATCCAAGCTTTTACCCCTTTGCCTCCTTTGATAGTCCACCGCTAGGGACAATCCTTGAAGCTTCCAAAATTGTTGGCAAGACTGGTGCAGGTGATATGGGGATGTTGATGCAATGCAGACGGAACTCCTGAGAGCAGCTCCATGACAGGGTCCTGCTTTTGTATCTCAGTCAGTGAGCGGCCCTCAGGAGCCCCATATGCCGAATCTGCCCCTCTGTCTTCATTCTTATGTAGAACTCACCTCTCCTTCAGAATGAGCTCCCACAACCCCTCCCGGCTGCCTTTATACAGATTCAGTACAATTCATAGCAGGGACATGTTAGCATTCTCGGTTGCCATTAGTGTCGTTACTAAGATGTTCAATGCCTCACTGTACACAATCTATAGGAAACTTTTTTTAAACAATGATTAGAAGACAATGCGTGTCCGCCGGGTCCATGTAATCACTCATCTACTGTATATTAGTGACACTATAACAGAGCTTAGTTACTTCCTTGTCACCCGAGTATTTATTCCCAGTGTGTATGCAATATGGTTGTCACCTAACTGCAATTAAATATACAGTAGTCTCAATAACCATATCGTCTAAAGCCTTGGTTTTCAACTGTGGGACGTGACCCCAAGTGGGTCACCGTATGCCTTCTACTTTTCTAGGTGAGAGGCTCCTCAGCCTCCCCATTGCGCAGCACTGCCAGTTCTCACTCCAAGCAGCCATTCAAAATATGCTGCCCAGCGCCGAATGTCAGCTTGAGATGGGATGGGGGTATGGCTGCGAGGGAGCTCCATCCATACGTGCATTGCTTACAGCTCCCTCACGTGCCCTGGCATCTCTATAGGACACGTGAGGGAGCTGTACCAGCAATGCACATATGGATGGAGCTCCGTCACAGCACAGTAGCCCACACTGGACCACCGGCTGGGGATCCGCTCCAGTTCTTGTAAGAAAGGGAGACTGGGTGGACCTTGAATAAATAAAAATTTGTATATAAATAATGTCTGCGTGTGTGAGATTGTGTGTGTCTGTCAGTGTTTTTAGGGTCCGTTCATACTAGTACAGTGCATTAATCACACAGACACGTGCGATTAACGTTGTAAATACAGGGACAAATCTTTATAACATGGGACCGTCCCGGGACCGATGCCAACTTTGTTACTGCCGCTTTGATAGTTATAAGGGAGATGCCGTGTTTGTGACTGCTGGCTGCTGTGGGTTCTTGTACTTTACACATTGATCTTGGCCTCTGGATTGTCCTTTGTTCTGCAAGCAGGCAGAAGGAAGTGCTATGACTTTCAGTATAATGAAAGAATGTGATACGCTCCAGGTGTGATAAAAGAATGACACACCTCTGTCATCTCTTACTATATCAGTGCACCGTGCCAGAGAATCCCTACAACTGATAAACACAGTGGTACACGTCCCGAGCTTGTCCGTACCCATCTCATGACAAGCCAGCCATGGGCCTCAAACACAAGGAGTTCGAGAAGGCCGGCAAGAAAACGGGCCGCCAGATCTGGAGGATCGAGAAGATGGAATTGGTTGAGGTCCCGGAGCCCCTCTACGGCAGCTTCTATGTGGGCGATGCCTACTTAATACTGAATACTGTGGACATGACGCTGCATAAACTTTACAATCTGCATTTCTGGTTGGGTAAGTTTTGGAAATTTTGGGGAATGGATGATAGGGGTTTTCAGGAGTTACTTTGGGGCAGCTAAATCAAACTTGGCAAATTGGTGTTTTTTGGGGCCTCCTTGCTCCTCTTGCTTAGAAGTTTAACTGAAAAACGGGTCAATTGCTGTCCAAAATCTATAGTTCTGTGTGTCATTTGCTGCTCAATGCTGCAAGACAACGGTTTATAGTCCTTTTCTCTGATACAACATTGCAAGTTGCAGTTGGTGATATGATGTTAAAAGTTCTCCTACCTCTGAAATGAAACAGGTATTAGAAAACTGCGCAGAGTATTAGGTCTTTATTAAAGGTGCCAGAATGGTCGCGTGACCATATAACCTGTTAAAAATACATCAATATTTATAAGTGTATCAATGTAAAAGAAACATAAAATTGGTAGACGCAATAGTCATATAGTGTATATGATACAAAGAACCTCCTACAGGTCATCATTCCAGCTCATCATCACAACTCCATATATGTCATATTAACTCTGCTTGTACATATGATCAAAATCTCAACATGTAGGGTGGAACTATTTTTCACTGGATGTGTTTCATAGACTTTGCATCCATTTCTTCAGGAGATGGAGGTAATATGTTGTAAATAAGTATTGACAGCTTAAACCTGGGACATATCCTTTTGTAAAGGGACTATACTGATTACATGGGGGACCACAAGAGTTACAATTCAGATCTTTGTTTGTACTATTGTATTGGTGCGGTGTTTTAGAACCACCCTTTCATTATCATAATTACAAACATACAGGTGAAACTCGAATAATTAGAATATTGTGCAAAAGTAATTGCAGTAAGTGCTGCAAAAGGGGCCCAAACCAAGTACTGAGTACATATGCATGCTTGTACTTTTCAGAGGTCCGATATTGTTCTATGTACAATCCTTGTTTTATTGATTGCATGTAATAATCTACTTTTTTGAGGTTGTGGATTTGGGGTTCTTGGGGTTTTCATGAGCTGTAAGCCATAATCATCACAATTATGACAAATCACGGCTTGAATTATCTTGCTTTGCATGCAATGAGTCTCATATATTAGTTTCACCTTTTAAGTTGCATTAGTGAAATAAATGAACTTTGCACGATATTCTAATTATTCGAGTTTCACCTGTATATGTCATAATAACTCTGTTTGTACAGAGTGAAAAAAATGTCAACATATAAGTGGGTGGAACTTTTTTGACTCAACAGGTTTCATCAGGGCCGGCCTTAGGCCTTTAGGCGCCCTGTGCGAGAAAGCTTTACAGCGCCCCTCAGTGACCACACCCCTCAGTGGCCACACCCTTTAGTGGCCACACCCCCAGTAACCACACCCATTTATTAACAAGTATTGACAGCTAAAACCTGGGTCATATCCTTTTTGCAGAGGGGCTGTCAAGATCACATGTGGGTCTGCAAGAGGTACAATTGAGGTCTCTGGTTGTACTATTGTACTGACCTGGTGTTGAACTCATTGACAAACTCGGAACGGCTCTGCGCTGTCAGTATATAGTGGGCAGTAGCCGGCTATATGCTAAGTTTGGGTCACAGAAGTACATTAGCAAATGTGTTTTGTTTGGCTTTAGTTCTCTTTTAATGCTGGTTCTGATAGAAAGGTGTCTGAACCCACAGTGTCAGTCCATGTACCCATTGCACTCCTTACCGCTAATCCGTAGTAATAGGTTGGGTGCATCAGTAGTCGACGGATGGCCACCCTCTAAATGGTATATAGGAAATTATGGACACCGGCACTCCAAGGTAGAATAACGTCTTTTTTGTTGACGTTTCATGCAACAATACACAGAGGCGGCTCTAGACTTTGTGAGGCCTTAGGCGAAACTCAAACATGAGGCCCCCACTTACACCCATATTGAAAGACAATGCAAACAATAATTAAAAATGAACTGTGTACATTGCATATTGTAAGACGAGCGTTTAATCCCAGCAGCCAGGAATTTACAGCTTCTAGAGCTAGAATGTTATTTCTGTCTCATATCTAATTCTACAAACAACTATACGCAAAACCATAACCCTAAGGAAGTAACATGCAGAGGTCAGATTAAGTAACGCACAGAGAGCAGAGGTCAGTAATAAGTAACGCAAAGAGATCAGTAGTAACGCACAAAATGCAGAGGTCAGATGTAAGGAACGCACAGAGTGCAGAGGTCAGATGTAAGGGACGCACAGAGGTCAGATGTAAGGAACGCAAAGAGTGCAGAGGTCAGATCTAAGGAACGCACAGAGTGCAGAGGTCAGATCTAAGGAACGCACAGAGTGCAGAGGTCAGATCTAAGGAACGCACAGGGTGCAGAGGTCAGATGTAAGGAACGCACAGTGTGCAGTGGTCAGATGTAAGGAATGCACAGTGTGCAGTGGTCAGATGTAAGGAACGCACAGTTCAGTAGTAAACACAATAAGAAGGATCTACTCACTGGTATTGGGCAGCTGGATTTTTTACATA